GGATAAGAGGGTATCTAGGCAACAGGAATAAGCGAGTAACTGTGAGGGGGAGACATCAGAGTGGATGTCACCAGCGGAGTCCCACAGAGTTCTGTACTTGAATCCATCCTGTTTCTAATATATGTTAACGATCTTCCAAAGGGTATAGACTCATTCTTCTCAATTTTTGCTAATGTTGCAAAAATTATGAGAAGAATCAAGACAGATGAAAATAGACAGAGACTACAGGACGACCTGAACAAACTGGAGGAATGGTCTAGAAATGGCTACTCAGAGAAGAAACTCAGAAAAGTGTTAAGCAATGAAATTAGGCGAAGAGAGCAGAAGGCTGAACACAAGGTATCATCTGGGAGGTGAAATCCTGTAAGAGTAAAATAGAGAGAAGGATCTGGGGGTTGATATCACACCAAACCTGTCACCAGAGGCCCACATCAAAAGGATATCATCAGCGGCATATGCTAGACTGGCCAACATAAGAACTGCTTTTAGAAACTTGTGTAAGGAATCGTTCAGGACCCTGTATACCACTTACGTCAGACCAATCCTGGAGTATGCAGCTCCAGCTTGGAGTCCATGCTTAGTTAAACACAAGACAGAGTTAGAGAAGATTCAGAGATATGCCCCCAGACTAGTCTCGTAACTGAGAGGTATGAGCTACAAGGAAAGTTAAGGGAGCTGAACCTCACATCCCTAGAAAACAGAGGAGCAAGGGGGAGACATGATAACTACCTACAAAATTCTCAGGGGAATTGACAGGGTGGACAAACACAAATTATTTAGCACGGGTTTAACACGAACAAGGGACAGTGTCAGAGTAGTTAACAAATGGAATACTTTAAGTCGTGATGTGGTGTAAATTTGTAAATGTATATTAGACAAAGCCTAGTAGGCTCAAAAATCTGTTCACCTGTTGGTTGACAGTTGAGAGGCGGGACCAAAGAGCCAGAGCTCACCCCAACCCCCGCAAGCACAACTAGGTGAGTACACGACTTTCAAATGACGACGTTTGAACATTTCTCGAACAGTGCTTCGCAGACGACGTCTGTTAGAATCACAATTCTGTAAATGCAGAATATTTGCAGTATTCACGAACTGGAACTACAAATAAGTGTCAGCAGAGCCTAATCATTTACTAACCCAACCAACGCCTACATATGTATATTATGCAAATATATAATAATTTTTATTTATACTTGAGAACGTTCCTATTATTAATGAACAACATTCTAACATTAACGAATCTGTCTTTGGGGTCGGCTGTTTAATGGAATAAACACATAGCCTGAGTATATTAACATTTCGCGACATTATATTTTCATTCTAATATGAAAAAAAAAATATAGGAAATCCATTATCAATGGGAAATATCTGTGGAAATAGTTTAGTCTCGATAGGAATTTTGGAACAATGCAAGTTCATATTCGCGGGCCAAAACAGGTGGAACAACGTCCAATCACTCGTAATGATCACTCTAGCCTTCTCGTCTCTATATTGTGTGAGTTTATGTAAACTTTCACTTATTCCGGTGAGTGAGTCTTGTTGACCTTTGTAACCTAACTAATACAGAGATTTAGGACAGCCATTGAATTAGTTAGGAGCAAGGGAGGAATCCCGATCATATGTGGCATTCTTCCAAGAAAGGGAGTGGGAAATGAATGGATGTCGAGGGCACTTGGTGTCAATTGCCGGCTGGAAAGATATTGCAAATCAAATGCAATATCTTTCATAGAACACTGGGAACGCTTCTATGGAAGAAATGAAATGTATGCTCGTGATGGGGTGCATCTATCGAGGGCTGGGGTTGTTGCTGTTGCGAACTCGTTGGAACCAGTGGTTAGAGGTGTTTGTTTGGGTTTAAACTGTTAGTAGATAGTGGTATGGGAATTGATTTGGAGGAAGGAGGTAATAAAAGTATGTGTTCGTGGGAGAAAAGAATTGGCAAAATGATCAGGGAAAGAAAAGGGCCTCAAAATAACAATTCACTTAGGATATATTACACTAACAGTAGAAGTCTAAGAAATAAAATTAATGAATTAAATGCTCTTGTCTGCACAGAAAAAAATAGATATTATTGCACTTACCGAAACGTGGATGAATGTAGAAAATAGAGAACTATTAGCTGAATATCAGATAAATGGATTTAAACTATTTCACACAGATAGATATATTAGACGAGGAGGGGGAGTAGCCATATATGTTAGGGACAATTTGAAATGTAGTCTCAAAGAGGGAATCAAAACTGAGCCACACAGAAACTATTTGGATAGAATTAAACGAAAAAGCAAATAATATTATAATAGGAGTTATATATAGGCCACCAAATTCAGACAAAATGGAAGCAAAGTATCTATGGAATGAAATATCTAGAGCATCTAGATCTAACAGTATTTATGTCATGGGTGACTTTAATTTTAGTGGAATAAACTGGGTGAACAAAACAGGGAATAGTGAAGCAGAAGATTTTCTAGAATTAATTGACGATTGCTTTCTTACGCAACACATTAAGGAACCAACGCGGGAAAATAATATTTTAGATTTAGTGTTAACTAACAGGGAAACACAAATTAATGACATCGAAATAGGGAGTGAGCTAGGGAACAGTGATCACAAAGTAATCAGAATTAGCATAGAATGGAATAGACCTGTAGGAGAAAATTCTGTTAAAGTGCCAGATTTTCGAAAAGCTAATTTTAATAGCCTAAGAATTTTTTTTGGGTCAAATAGATTGGAAAGTCTTGGGTATGGGGTGTGGGCCGGTCTTAGAGCGAAACATGAACCCAGCGACAGGTGACGTAAAAGGGGATTTCTATGTGGATTTAATATATAACTTATTTAAGAATATTCTAAACAAAGCACAGGAACGTAGTATACCATACAAATTGAATAGATCGAATACTAATGACCCAAAGTGGATAACAAATAATTTAAAGAACCTTATAGGTAAAAAGAGAGCTTGGTACAAAAGGATTAAGAATGGGGAAGTCAGGTTAGAGCAGGAATTCATACAACTGGTTAGCAATGTTAAAAAAGAGATTAGGAAAGCAAAAAGAAACTATGAAGTTCGCATAGCAGAGCAAGCAAAGTCAAATCCTAAAGGGTTTTTTCAGTTATATCGAACTATGACTAGGGAAAGGATAGGTCCATTAAAATCTGAGACAGGTCAAATAACGGATAATGACAAGGAGATGAGTAGTATTTTTAACAAATATTTTATATCTGTATTTACTAAAGAAGAACTTAACAATATGCCTTCAGCCGAACAAGTCTATGTGGGTGGGGATGAGGACAGGTTGACTAGTTTAGCAGTTACCAGGGAGGATGTAATTAAACAATTAAAAAAACTAAAACCAAACAAATCCCCAGGGCCGGATGAAGTGTTTGCCAGGGTGCTTAAAGAATGCAAAGAGGAGCTTTCCGAGCCACTGTCTACCATATTTAATAAATCAATAGTCAGGCAGAGTGCCAGAGTCATGGAAGGTAGCTAATGTGGTACCAATTTTTAAGAAAGGAGATAGATCACTTGCATCAAACTATCGGCCAATTAGCCTAACGTCTATTGTGGGAAAGTTACTTGAATCAATAATTGCAAATACAATTCGTCTCCATCTTGAAAAACATAAATTAATAAATGAGTCGCAACATGGTTTTACAAATGGCCGTTCATGTTTAACAAATTTGCTAACTTTTTATTCCAGCATAGTTGAGGCAGTTGATAGTGGTAAGGATTGTGATGTTGTGTACCTTGACTTTAGCAAAGCTTTTGATACAGTGCCACATGAAAGACTAATTAAAAAAATAGAAGCTCATGGTATTGGGGGTGCTATATTAATTTGGATTAGGGCATGGCTATTTCAAAGGAAACAGAGAGTTAGTATAAATGGGGTTAAGTCAGAGTGGGATAATGTTGTTAGTGGAGTACCTCAGGGCTCTGTCCTGGGACCTCTGTTGTTTATAATATATATAAATGATTTAGATTCAGGTTTGAGTAGCAACATTTGCAAATTTGCTGATGATACGAAAATCGGTAGGGAAATTAATTCGGAGGAGGACTCATTATCACTTCAAGTTGATCTAGATAGGGTTTTGAAATGGTCAAATGATTGGCAAATGCAGTTTAATGCTGATAAATGTAAAGTTCTGAGGCTAGGTAATGATGATAGAGTTACAAGATACGAGCTAGATGGTGTTGAGATTGCGAAGTCGGATTGCGAAAGGGATCTGGGAGTTATGATTAGTAAGAATTTAAAACAAAAGGATCAATGCATAAATGTTCATAATAAGGCGAATAGGACACTGGGATTTATTAATCGAAGCGTTAGTAACAAGACACCTGGTGTGGTTCTTAAGCTATATCTTGCTCTGGTTAGGCCCCATTTAGACTATGTAGTTCAGTTTTGGTTGCCGTATTATAGAATGGATATAAATTCACTTGAACGTGTCCAACGTAGGATGACTAAGTTAATTCCCCAAATTAGAAATCTTTCATATGAAGAAAGATTAACAAAGCTTAAGTTGCATTCACTGGAAAGGCGAAGAGTTAGGGGTGACATGATAGAGGTTTACAAGTGGGTGAATGGACATAACAAAGGGGATATTAATAGGGTATTAAAAGTATCAACACAAGACAGAACACGAAACAATGGGTATAAATTGGATAAGTTTAGATTTAGGAAAGACTTGGGTAAATACTGGTTCAGTAACAGGGTTGTTGATTTGTGGAACCAATTGCCCCGTAACATTGTGGAGGTGGGGTCCCTCGATTGTTTCAAGCATGAGTTGGACATGTATATGAGTGGGATTGGGTGGTTATAAATAGGAGCTGCCTCGTATGGGCCAATAGGCCTTCTGCAGTTGCCTTTGTTCTTATGTTCTTATGTTCTAAGCTTTTTGTAGTGTAGAATGACGTCGCCTGATAACAATGAGTCCCTCCCCCTGTCGAAACCCACACTGATAAATCTCTGGGTATAAGTGTTGGAGCCATAGCAGCAGCTGGCTCAGTATACACCTGCACCCAGAGGACACCTGCACCCCCACTACTGCACACCTGTTTGTCTTTCTCACGTCAAGTGCCGAAAGAAACACAACAGAGCCCGGTAGTCCAGTAGTGTCTAGTGTCTTGTGTACAGCGTCAGGTGTCCAGGTCGTCCAACATGATCAAGCGCAGTCTTCTCATCATTACCCTGGCGGTGAGGAACAGTATGGGCCCCAGGACGCTCCCAGGGGCATTGTTGGGGGGTAATTAATGAAGTAATGCTTCCAATCTCCTAAACACACGTCACACATCTCAGGGGCTGAGGTTTATTACAGTTAGAATATTTACACATTTTACATATTGGATGTCTCCAATATGTAATATGTCCGAATATATTAATAACGTTCCGACTTAATAATACCATTATTAATTCGGACCATTATCAATAAAATATCATAACATTTCTGCTCTCCTTCAATCAGGTGGTGTGCGCCGTTGGGATTCTCCAGCAAGACGCCTGTCTCCCCGACTGTAATGGGAAAAATTCTGGTGACAAAGTACCTGATCCCAAGAACTGCACCAACTATTACATCTGTTTTGATGATGATATTAATTCGGATCACCCTATTCCCTGCCCAAGTGGCAATTATTTTGATCCAAGTTCATCTGCGTGTGCCCCTGGATCTGCAGACGATTGTGAAGCTGTCTGCAATCCTTCAGATTGCCTCTTCACCTGCAACGGCTCCTTCAGCTTAATTAGTGATCCATTCGATTGTGGTACATTCTATATTTGTATTGCTGGTCAACCAACAGAGACACTTCACTGTACCATTGACGCGCCTTACTTCGACGGTGTAAACTGTGTCAATAACAGAGAAGAGTGTTGCACAGTCTCGTGTGTTCCCTACTGTCAGCCAGGGATCGTGCAGACCCCCGACCCCACAGACTGCACCAAGTACTACATGTGCGTTGAAGAAGGAGCTGTGGACCCAAACTTACACTTTTCTTGTGGTAGCGGTGAACACTTTGACTACCAAATTGGTCGATGTGTCTCAGGTGCTTCTTGCACCAACTTGTGTCCTCCCACAAATTATTAAGTACATTGCTGTCGGGAACTTGAATAACTACCACAACCACATCAATAACTACCACATTAACGACGACCACATCAACAACCACCACATCAACAACCACCACATCAACAACCACCACATCAACTACTACCACATCAACAACCACCACATCAACAACCACCACATCAACAACCACCACATCAACAACCACCACATCAACTACTACCTCATCAACAACCACCACATCAACAACCACCACATCAACAACCACCTCATCAACAACTACCACATCAACAACCACCACATCAACAACCACCACATCAACAACCACCACATCAACAACCACCACATCAACAACCACCACATCAACAACCACCACATCAACAACCACCACATCAACAACCACCACTATTACTAGCCAGACTGTTACCAGTCAGCCAGACTGTTACCAGTCAGCCAGACTGTTACCAGTCAGCTAGACTGTTACTACACAGCCAAACTGTTACCAGTCAGCTAGACTGTTACTACACAGCTAAACTGTTACCAGTCAGCTAGACTGTTACTACACAGCTAGACTGTTACCAGTCAGCTAGACTGTTACCAGTCAGCTAGACTGTTACCAGTCAGCTAGACTGTTACCAGTCAGCTAGACTGTTACCAGTCAGCCAGACTGTTACCAGTCAGCTAGACTGTTACCAGTCAGCCAGACTGTTACCAATCAGCTAGACTGTTACTACACAGCCAAACTGTTGCCAGTCAGCTAGACTGTTACTAGTCAGCTAAACTGTTACCAGTCAACTAGACTGTTACCAATCAGCTAGACTGTTACCAGTCAGCTAGACTGTTACCAGTCAGCCAGACTGTTACCAATCAGCTAGACTGTTACTACACAACCAAACTGTTGCCAGTCAGCTAGACTGTTGGCAGTCAGGTAGACTGTAACTAGACAGCCAAACTGTTATCAAACAGCTAGACTTTGAAAAGGAAATTTTTTCTTATTGATTGTTTACATGATTTGCATTTAAAAATAAATCTAAGTGTTAATACAGTGAATTTATTCAGGGCTGAACTGTGTATATATACATCTTGGTTCTGTATAATGTAATGGAATATATAATGTAATGGAATATATAATGTAATGGAATATATAAATGATGAATTAATATTATGTATGTTATACTTGTTAAATGTAATAAAATAAATATTAGTGAGACTTAGAGTGCCATTTTTACCTCTGATGCATATAGTCTTATGTGTGGGAACTCAAGATTAAAATGTCATTGACGGTGCCAGTCTGAAGGATATGTAGGATGTAGGCTGTTGCCACAGCCTCTTCTCCTTCAGTTTCCTCAAAATACTACAAATACGACCACTGGAATATTTCCATAATGGAGAATATTATCTCAATAATGCTCGGTAATGTGTCCAAGATGGACAAAGCTGTTCTTCTAGCCACGAGGGCTCCTCATACTGGAGATTTTCCTCTGGCTGCATCTAATTCCTGATTGGACACTTTGCATTCTCACCTTTGTCGTCTCCAAACATCCGAGTATCTGCAGCAGTTCAGCAGCTGACCATTATGTGCGTGATATAATTATGTATGTGAGCGGGAAGGAAATCATGACATGAACATGTCAGATGTTAATAACATAACATTTGTAATAGTTTGTTTCACGGCACAAAGAGAACTTCAACTGTTCAGACTCGATGACAGTCTGAGGTCTTCAGATCTGGGTCAGTATGGAAGACATTACTGAGATATATTTCCTTATGACATAGAGATTAACAGATTAACAAATTCACAGATCTAACAACTGGTTAGACTGTTGACAATCAAGAGCAGAGTTTCTCAACATTTTTACCCTTGTGGAACCCTTGAAATAATGTTCTTGTCAAGTTGTTCTTGTTCTGCACCCCCCCCCCCCGCCAGCATAAATATTATTATATAATATATTTATAATCTAAAATATATTTAATCACAAAAAACTCAAACGTATCTTTAAACACAAATAATAAACACTGACAATCTTCCATGAAACCCCCGGTTGAGAGACGCTAGTCAAGAGGGTTCAGATTCAGGCTACAAGACTACATGCTACAAGCAGGTAGTGTGAGGCTACACATGTTGACCCACACTTACCTCCAGCACGGTGGGTCTCAAGATGGTGGCACCGCTCTACTCTGAGAGACTTGCTTGTAATTAAAGCGACATTTTAATATGCTTAGTGAGCCTTCGTTTCTTGGATTACTACTCACTAAAGAATTAAGGAATTAGACGAGAATATATTTTTTGCGAAGGGTTATCTTGAGATGATTTCGGGGCTTAGCATCCCCGTGACCCGGTTCTCGACCAGGCCTCCTTTTTGTTACATACCCCCAGGAAGCAGCTATCTAACTCCCAGGTACCTATTTACTGCTAGGTAACAGGGGCATCAGGGTGAAAGAAACATTTTGCCCATTTGTCTCTGCCTCCACCGGGGATCGAGCCCGGAACCTCAGGACTAAGAATCCGAAGCGCTGTCAACCCAGCTGTCAGGCGCCCATAGGTAGGGAAGGGGAAACGAGACCCCAAAACAACCAATGTCCTGTTTCAGCATTTCAGAATTACAATCCAGAGTGGAAACAACAGCTGCTTGGGTACGTGGTGCCTATAGTCCCCGTACTCCACAACCCTTTCTCACACTTGCTTATAGTCAATATCTTGCTTAAGAATAAGTGCTTATGTGACATACTAATTTATTGTGAATATTTGAGTTTACCTTGAGAAGCTGAATAGAAAACCACAACCTAACGTAACCTTCTTTGTATGTTAAACTATTACAATTAGTACTGAGCCTATACCTATATTGATATTACAGTTTTATAAAAATAATAAAACAAAACTAAAATATTTAAATAAATTGTAAAGTAACTCAGGATATTGTCAAATTTTGTATAAAATCTCTATCGTTTAAAAAAACTGAGAGAAAAAATTAGTGCCTTGAAAAAAAGGGCTTGGAATATGTCACATATGTACTTATTTATAAGCAAAATAGTGACTGTAAACAATAAGTCATATATGTGCTGTCTTGTGCGAGAGCAGGTTGCACTCCAGGAGTTGCATGCCCAGTATCAACAACGTGATTGACCACATGTATTTATCTCCCTTATAACAAATAATCATTTCGTGTTATATTGCAATTTGTTGTCTAGTTAATCGTCACACTGTGAGTAACTTTTGTTACAATTGTGTCAAAGTGAAAAATTCCCTGCGGTCAACACATGCTCGAGAAACGTTCAGTTATCGTTGGATCAATGTTAATCAATGTTTATATATGATCAACGTTGATTTATTGTTAAATCATTGTCATTTGCTAAAATTTGCTCGTTGGGTGAGGGGGAAGAGGGGGTTTTGAACCAACACCCTTCATGTTTTCTTGTATCTTCCAACTAATTTTATCACTTAAATGTTCTAATCTAAATGTGATTGCCGGGCGAGCTTCAGCTCCTGGTCTTCGCCTCATATTATGTCATTGTCGGTTGCGGCAGCTTCCAACTTTCCTGCTACTATACATACCTGTGAGATTTTTTTTCTTTGATTTTATCAAAAGAATTAATTCCCATTGATGTTTTATTAATGTAACTACCTCGCATAGGATGCAGACCTCAAACAGAAAGAGGAGTCTGGCCCTAGCTTCGGTGCGGGGCAGACGTGTTGAATCGGCGCTCCAGCAGTTTGGTGTTGTTTGCCCGTTTCGGCCGGTTGGGGGCGGGTGTGTGTCTGCTCGCCTGTGCTGACGTGGCGTTACGATGGGGGTCCCTCTACCCCCAGTCGTCCGGGCTCAGTCTGTGGGACTAGAGTTCTCTGTGCGGGCTGGTTACCCGGAGATTGCCCTGGCTTGTGAACTGCTCTCTGTCCCTGTGTTTGCGATTTATGGGGTAGAGTTGGTAACGGCCCGTAGGGCCATTGTGAAGTTTGCAGAGGAGGCGGCGTATCGCGATTTTCTCCGGCGATACGAGGGGCGGACACTGCCCCTGCCGGATGGTGCGGGCACTGTCACCCTCTCGGATAGAAGTGGTGCACTTACTTACATCAGTGTGCATGGGGCTCCCTTGGAGTTTCCAGAGGCTCTGCTACGGCGGTATTTCGGGCGGTTTGGCGCAGTTGTTAGTGTGAGAGTGAACGTGGTGTCTTCTAGTCCTCTTAAGGGTGTGAGGTCTAACATTCGCACCCTGGGCATGAGACTCCGGGCGGATATTCCGTCCTCTGTGCGCCTTATGGGGTTCAACGTTCGGGTGTTTTACGCCCGTCAGCCGCGGACGTGTTATCGTTGTGGTCTTTTGGGCCATCAGGCTGCTGACTGTTCTGCGCCTCCTGTTGCACCAGTGAACCTCTTCAGTGAGGAGGATTTTCCGCCCCTTCCTGTGGGGGATGATTCGGTGGGTATGGACGTCTCTTCGGCTGAGGAGGTGCCCTCTGTAGCAGCTGTTGCTCCGCCTGTTGCGCCCCCTGTTGTTGCCGCATCTCCTCCGGAGGTTGTGTCCTCGCCTAGTGCTCCAGCTGGTGTCCCTGAGCCTCTTCCGCCTGCCGTTTGCTCGGTCCCCTCGTCTTCCAGTTCTTCCTCTGCTGTGTCTGTCCCGGTCCCTGCACCCTCGCCGTCTGTCCCGGCTGTGCTGGGAGCTGAGGTGGATCCGGAATTCCCTCCTGTGCCTGGCCTGGTGCCCCGTGTGGTTGAGGAGGCTGCCGTGCTGCGGCGTGCGTCGGTTCGCTCGGTTGGTGCTGCGCGGGTCGCTGAGTCTGCCTCCGGGTCTGATGATGTGCGGCCCGAGCCTAAGCGTTCCCGGCGTTCTTCTGTGTGGGCTGATGTTGGCGAATTCGACGAGTGTCGTCCTTCCGTTGACGGTGGCGTGGCTCCGGATGTGGTGCACACTACGGTGGTGGCGGAGGTACACTTGCCTGAGGATGCCGGTGCCGGCGTTTCGGCCTCAACCTCTGGTCCGGTGTCCGAGGGTCCTGCGTCGGATGGCTCCGGTTCTTCGTGGGCGGTGGTTCCCCCTGCTGTAGTTGGTGGTGAGCGGGGTGGCCTGGTGGTGATGTTGAGAAAGGATGCTCGCTCTGGATGTTCTGTGGCCCCTTCCTCGTTACCCGTTTCCTCGGCAG